TAAAAAATGTATTTTTCGTTCATAATTACGAACATATCCCTTTTTTATCGCTTAAATATTTTTAGGGATTCATAACGTTTATTAAAGTTCTCAATGTGGTAGTTTGGAAAATAATCCATTCGATACGCGATGACATTAATTAGTATGCACTCATAATATTCACATTCATATCTCGATGTAATTCGGTATGCTGCGCTAAACGTTTTTACGCATCAATGGGTGTTATGGCATATACAGGTACTAATTATGAGAACGATTGATCGTGTTGGCGTCCCAATTAATAATTCGACGAATTCGTATACCATAATAGTTATTGCTGTTCCATTATGAAAATGTCCCCACATGTTTGAACGTCGACCTGGTCCTGGTTTATTCCCGCTTCACTACAAAGATCCGATTTTCGGTTTATGGCGAGAAGCTCGATTGTTGGACGACTAATTTGATGCACGCGTTGATAATGTACCGCTGGATCTGCTCGTAACAAATATCAATATAAAGAAGCTCAACGAGCGACTATCTATAATCGTAGACTAAATCTATACATGAAACAGATTATACACTATCCCATTTAACTCGATAAAATCTAAAAAAGGACTTTGAATAAAAAATGTAGAATATCAAATATAAAAAAAAATAAAAAAAAAAGAAAAAAAGAAAGAAAAAATTGTTCGTATTCACGAAATACAAGCTGTTTAATTTTCTTTTTTGAAAATTTAATTTTAATTTAATTTATTGTATATCAAAAAGTTACATTGAGAAATATAGATAGAATACAAATACAAATAAGTTAATGCACAAATGGTGAGACACCAGCAGAATTGTTGCTATAAAGCCTATTTTTTTTTTAAATTATAATCTTTAAAAAATATTGAGTGTTATAGTTTTATAATTCAAAATGATGCCGAATATGATGCAAAAGGGAAAAAAAATTACGTATACATTTATAACGGGGTAGCTTCCACGCGGTAAGTACCAAGAGACTGACAGAATGCTCGATGTTAATAGCTGTCCGGAAGGACTCGTTGCAACGGCGCTAAAGGATCCTTTGTGGAGCTACGCATACGTTCCAAAATTCCTGCGTCGTTGCCACGTCCGCGTTCTCACGAATAAACCGTGCGGGATGTATCCGTCTATGTTGAAAGCGGAACTTTGAGGACAGGTTGAAAGAGCTGCCATGCATTCTTCGAGAGCCGCTCGTTACGAGGGTTTCGTTACGAAGAATTCGACGGAAGAATTCGCTCCTGGACTGAGGCCAATCGAAACGTTCCCCTTGCCCTTTGAGAAAATATTTAGTATTATCATGAAAACTGTAACGTGGCATAAAGCAACGCCGAGACTCGCTCTATAACAAGAAAATATCTCATAAATATGTAAAACTTCTGAGATACGAGACGATTCAAGAAAATCCGTTATACGCGTGTGATCAATATCGCAGACATTCTTCAGACTCTTGATATGTAGATGTATCAATGGCTTTTTCCTTTGCATTAGAAAATATTAATAAATTGTCGCTTGTCAATGTTTAATAAGTAAATTTAAGATAATTAAAAAAAATTACGATATAGATCACAAGACAAAGATCGACAAATATCGAGCTTTAAATGACGTGCATTTAATTATATGTTAAAAATTATATAATAACTAGTTTCTTTATTAAATATAATATGAATTGTGATAAAATAAATAATTTTTATGATTGCAGCTTAATACACCGAGATACGAGGCCAGAGCCAGCGATACGATGTTCGACTCTGAGAGGAGCGACCAGACTTCCGTCGGCACCAGACCATCGCAGTGAAGCTCGATTAAGGATAGACCCGAAAGTGTTGGTCTTCGTAGAAACTCTATACTCGAGGCTAGGTCGAGAGATAGCTGAGCTACTAGTTTATAATCGAATAAAGTGAGTACGGATTATTTTTCTTGGGTACCGGCCATGACGAAAGGAACTCGAAACGAAGTTTCTTATTTATTGACTAAACAATTATTATTCGAATCTGATGGTTGATCTGCGAACTGCTTTTATTGCGATAGATAATTATAAAATAACTGATTTACTTAGACGGATAAAACACGTTCGTAGATGCGTCTGACCTATTTGCATGCACCGCATTTCGCAACACGTCTTTTATGCGCACCGACCTGATTCTGGAAAAAAAGATTTTACCGTAGCACGATCTGAAAGTGGGTCGCCAACATGAGCTTTCTTCGGAGAGTTCTCGGCTGCAATAGTTCATATTATTAGGCAAAAAGTATATAGCTAATGGCACCTAGTTGCTGAAGTCGATCGATATCGCGACACATACTCTTGAATATGCCGTAAGTTCACTATCTCGCGGTCCTTTTTATTCGTAAACGCTTTAAGAAAGAAATGATAAACGGCTTTCATGAATTTGAAACGAGCACTTTATTTTCATACTTTTAAATGATAGATTCGTGGTAAATTCGCATGTTTACTTTAATTCTCCACAAAATCGCCCATCGAATTCTACCATATTATTCATCGAGGAAAGAATTCGTAAATTATATTCTACTTCCGAAGCTCTGAGCATCACATTGAACATTTCATTTTCACAAAATCTTCTCGTCAGTGTCGCAAGCATTCATCGGGAGGGAATATTTCGACATTTTTTCGAAAAAAAATTATATCACCTAGATCTTGTTGTAATTCTCCCGTACCGCCGATCTGAATTTTTCAAAAAATTCTCAGCGTTTATAATTCCGCGATGGAGATTCCGCAAATCCCGGTTTTACTACATCGTTGGCGATGTTATTTCGTGAATGTCGGTATAAAAATTAGAAATGCAAATTTCTCGACCATCGTAAAGTCCAGGCAGTTTTTACGCTATTATACGGGTTCCACGAATATTTTAAAACCATTTTTCCCATCTAGGGAATTAGAAATCGGCTCAATGTCGACGTGAAAACACTTACTTCGGCTTTTGTAACCACCTTATTAGTTTCCGCATTTAATGCCACATTCGATTTATTGAATCTTCATACTCCGAGAAATTATAAAATCTCTTATATTACTTTTCTTGAAATTATCCGTGAGAATGTCGAATTTAGAATAATATCAACTAGTAATAGACAAAATAATTGGCCTGGGATATTCTCTTTGTTCAATATGCAATTTTACATAGCTACGTGGATATTGTTGATATATGACAATATAAATCGTTAACAGCTAAATGTATAGACTGTATTGTATAATGTCCCGATATTCGGATGACTTATTAAATAAATATTAACGTTGTCCATAGTACAGTAAACAGGAAACGTACATAATGTGGCACAACTATGTAACGAAGCTATATCAGGCGATGAAATTTCGTGTCTATTTACAGCTGCGCGCAAGATTTCACATTTCCATTCCACGAAAATTGCATGACCTGAAAAGTTCAACGAATCCGCTATTGGGGACACGGTGTATCGCGAAATTTACTTCATTCATGATATGCGCATTCCTTAAGCGGTAATAGCCGGGCCAAAAGCCTGTTATGGGCTAGGAGTCGAGTCGTGTATGGGGTCGTTCGAAACTTTGACGCTGAGAAAGAGCTTAAGCCGGATGTGTCCTCGGATCTCGAAATAGGATGATGAAATCCTGAGAGTGGCGGAAGTCCTACGTATCCTCTCTATTATCTCCCGACTCTTCCGCGGTTGATTAAATAATAATGACGGGATGATGCGATCCCGCTTCCGCAAACCTTGGCGTCTATCGGGAATTATAGCGACGCAGCTATGTGACACGGTGCACATGAGAGAGCATATTGTAGTTTAGAGCACAACATGAGATAGAGACGAATAGCGATTAGGGAGCTCGAACCATCCTCCGCCGTAAGAGAGACGAATACGCGCGACACGGCTCGATACGGGGTGAACATGCGGGTGGTGCGCGCACCCCCCCGTGAAGTGGCGAACGGTGAGGCGTGGAGTATTGTCGCCTGTGTGCTAGAGGAATAGAGCATCGGTATGCCGATATGATCGGAAAGGTAACCAACAGGACCGGGACCCAGGGACGATACGCGTTCACGAGAGTGCGAGAGAATCACCGACCAAGCTCATCGCGGTGGTCTCTCGTTTGCTTTATCCGGCGCAATTTCATAATCGATACCGGCGCCTGAGGGTAGAGTAGGGAGTGGACGGGGGGGTCGTCCACTCTGGCCGCACAGCGTCCACCTGTGTGTGGCGTCAGGCAAATTTTGTTGTTGGAGATTGCGAGGCGCAGATATGGAAAGCGTCGCGTCGAATCGTGCTCGCCACACAAGCCGCATACAACGTACATGCGACGTCGTTACACGTCGACGCACAATGTTGTACCTAATGAAATATTTATTGACGCGCGGGCTTCTTTGCGTGTAGATAGGAGCATCGGGGTATATCTGCCTTACGCCGTGTGTATACATGTACGTAATGCGATATGGAAAAGTTTTGAATCTGGGGATCCAGCTGCGCGTAGATAAAATGCGATATCTCGCCCCGGGATACTCTCTCGAACCGGGGACGTAAGAAAAATAGGGGCGAAGGAAGAAGTTTCTATAAGCGAGTTGAGTTTTCAACCCGTTTTACCTTACGTACGAGCAGCGTCTGTTTTATCTTGCCTGCAGCTTTTATTGCTTATTAACTGCTTTTATGTGCACTCGTATCGCTTTATCGATTACGCCCACATCGCGGACGATGAATAATGCAGATATAAAACACACAAGATGTTTCAAATTACTGAAAACCTATTCTATCAGAAATTTTTACATGTAGAGTAAAAATTTTGTATAAGATATAAAAATAGATATTAAAATACACGCGAAGAACATTGCTTGACATTAATCAATCTTTTTTTATAAAAATAAACTACAATAAGACACGTAACAAGGGAAACTTTTATAGAAAATTACAGAAAGGCCGAATTAGCACGAACTTCTCTGACACATGTGAAAACCGATGAAACAGTCAAATGTCAATTGCGTTTATCGCCGATACTCTATTCGACACATGACAATCAAACGAATTTCTCTCTCATCCCTCGCGATTTTTTTAATCTATTCCCATTGATGGGGTTTCTCGATGCGTGTCTGTCTGTCGAGGAACCTTCAATAAACGTTCGCGTGTTATCAGCGTGGAGAAAGAAGTCTTCTATTTCTCAATCGGGAAAACGGCGATATCGATCACGCTCTCCAACCTCGGCATGCCCCCTCTCTCCCTTCTCGGGTTATTTCCCGACACTAGCGTAGCTGTGCGACATGGCCTTCGTTTACCTGTGCGGCATCATCGATGAAGGAAGAGGATAGCAAAGTCGTGCAAAGAGTAAACGTTCCACGACGCGTGTCGTCGAGGCAAAAACGACGATCAACTTTTGTGACGCATTATTTTTTTTTTTTTTTTTTCCCTTATTAGCATCATGCATCGGCGATTCTCATCTCGAATCCGTCTTTTCGTTTTCGCGACTCGTCTGCCTTTTGTCCCGTCTCTCTCTCTCTCTCTC